GGGGCGACTCACCCGGACTCGCCGCCCTCCTCTTCCCTGCGAGGCCCGGAGTGCAGTGCGCGGCACCGCGCCCACGCCCTGACGCTGCGTGTGGCACGCGGCAGGACTACGGCCCCTTTGGCTTCGTCGAGCAGTACGAGCCGCTCTGGTCGCCCTTCACCTCGGACGCAGAGCGAAAGTTCGGGTTCGAGCGACAGCCCGTCGCAGCGCAGGTCGCGGCAAAGAGCCGAGAACTGCCGCCGAGATACCAGCCGAGATGCAGCCGAGATGGCGAGGCTGGGACGGACCCGCTCCGAGCGCGCAGCCCGCGCTGCCCGGTTGGATTGGCCGGATCTGACTCAAACTAGGTGCTGGCCCTCGCGCGCTTTAATTAATTAATTCATTTAAGTATTAATTAATCAAACTAGGTCAACGTGATGACCCTCGCGCGCTTTAATTAAATAATCCATGAATTTAAGTATTAATTAATCAAACTAGGTCAACGTGATGACCCTCGCGCGCGCGCTGCTGCCGCTGCTCTCGCAAGGCGACGATGGCAACGGCGGGGCGGGGCCTCGGCGGCGCCGCAGCACTGCGGACGTGTCCCGCCCGACGTGCCCGCAACGTGTCCCGTAGGCGGGATGCGACTCGACGAGGCGGCGGTGTCGCAGCTGCAGGCGGGGGGCGAGATGCGGCCGAGAGATGCGGCCGAGAGATGCGGCCGAGATGCGGCCGGGAGATGCGGCCGAGGTGTCCTCTCCCCCCCCGTCCAGGCGGTGGTGGAGGACGAGTACCCGCAGCTGCTGCGCGCGGAGCTGGGCGCCATGCACGCCGCCAAGCTCGGCCTGGCTACTTGGGACCAGGCCAGCCGCCGCCGAGCCGCTCGCTCGCGCGCGCTTGTGACACGTCCGTGACGCAATCACGCCACGACTGGCAGGCCGCCGCCGAGGAGCTGCTCGCGCCGCTCAAGCTGCTGATGGAGCGGAGCCAGCTCGACTACACTCTCTTCTGGAGGCAGCTCTCCCACCTCTCGGACGCCGCCCTCGCCGCCGCCGCCGGCGGGCAGCCCGCCGCCGCGCAAGCTGTGCTCGCGCCCGCTTGCTACGAGGCCGAGGCGATGGCCGAGCGCGAGGGCGAGTGGGCGGCGTGGCTGAAGGCGTACGCCTCGCGCATCGCCGCGGAGGGTGCGGCACGCCCGATAGCAAGCCCTATAGGGACTGACAAGGGACGGCAGCCCGAAAGGAGCTGGAGAGTAGAGCAGCCCGAGTAGGAGTTGAGAAGGAAAGCTTTCCTATGGGAGTTTGATAGGAATACCAGCCCGAATGGAACCTTTATGGGAGCCTCACCCTATAGGTGCTTTTAAAAGGAGAGCCT